AAATTGCCTTTAGATTGTGAGAGTTAGACATATATATTAAAAACATACTAAAATATACTAAAGAAAAATATGCTAAAGAAAATAACACCTTAAAAAACAGAATGGGGCAGGCATTAGGAACCCGCAGCCTTGAGGTTGCATGTGGCCCTCTAGGTCCTCAACTGTGGCCCTTTGACTGAATCCAAACTTCACAGAACAAATAAAACAATAAAACAAAATTAAAATAATGAATAAAAGAAGAAAGTGTGAAATATCTCATTGGAAAAACAACTAATCTGGAAAATAGATCCAGGAGAGATAATTTAAGAATCATTGGACTATCTGAAAGCTATTATCAAAAAAAGAGCCTACCTATAATATTTCAGGAAATTATCAAGGAAAAGTGCACTGATATCCTAGAATCAAAGGGTAAAATAGAAATCAAAAGAATTCACCAATCACCTCCTAAAAGAGATCCCAAAATGAGAACTCCCAGGAATATTGTAAACAAATTACAGAGCTCTCAGGTCAAGGAAAAAATATTGCAAGCCGCCAGAAACAATTAAAATATCATGGAGCCACAGTCAGAATTACACAGGTTTAGCAGCTTCTTTGTTAAAGGATCAGAGGGTGTAGAATATGATAATCCTGAAGGCAAAGAAGCTAGGATTACAACCAAGAGTCACCTACTCAGCAAAACTGAATATAATCCTTCAAGGGAAAAAATGGGTATTCAATGAAATAGAGGACTTTCAAACATCTCTGATGAGAAGACCAGAGCTGAATAGAAAATTTGATTACATGGGAAGTTGATACTCTTAACTCCAATGAATTTTATCATTATTAGGACAGTTAGAAGGCGTATACATAGACAGAGGGCATGGGTATAAGTTGACTATGATGGAACGATAGCTAAAAAAATAAAATTAAGGAGTAAGAAAGAGGAATGCACTGGGAGAAGGAGAAAGGGAGAGGTAGGATGGAGTAAATTTTCTCACATGAAAGAGACATGAAAGAGCTTTGACAGTAAAGAGGAAGATGGGGGGAGTGCAATGCTTGAACCTTACTTTCATCATAATTGACTGAAAAAGGGAATGACATACACATTCAGTTGGGTATAGAAGTCTATCTTACCATGGAGGGAAGTAGAAGGGGATGGAGATAAGAGAAGTGGGAGGGGAGAGGGGAGAAAGGCAGATTTGGGGAAGCAGTGGCCAGAAGCAAAACACTTTTGAGAAGAGACAGCATGAAAGGAGAGAGAAGGGAAAAAAGGGAAAAAATAGTATGGAAGAAAATACACAGTAATCATAACTGTGAATGTGAATGGGGTGAGCTCACCCACAAAACGAGCAGATAGCAGAGTGAATTCAAAACCAGAATCCTACAAAACTGGTGGGGGGGGGGGAACTTACACCAAGTTTCTCTGATAAAGGTCTCATTTCTCAGGTATATAGAGAACTCAGTCAAATTTATAAAAAATAAGAGGTCATTCCCCAAGTAATAAATGGTCAAAGGATATGAACAGGTACTTTCAGAAGAAGAAATCAAAGCTATCTCTGATCATATGAAAAAAATGCTCTAAATCACTACTGATTAGAGAAATGCAAATTAAAATGACTCTGAGGTACTACCTCACACCTATCATGTTAGCTAATGTGACAGAAGAGGAAAATGACAAATTTTGGAAGGGATGTGGGAAAATTGAGACACTAAAGCACTGGTCTGGAAAGCAATTTGGTACTATGCCCAAAGGACAATCAAACTGTGCATACTCTTTGAGCCAGCAATACCACTACTAGATCTGTATCCCAGAGAGATTTTTTAAAAAGGGAAAGTACTTATATGTACAAAGATAATTATAGCAGTTCTTTTTGTGGTGGCAAAGAATTGGAAATTGAGGGGATGCCCATCAGTTGGGAAATGGCTTAACAAGTCAAAGTATAGGATTATGATGGAGTATTACTATGCTATAAGAAATAATGAGTAGGACGCTTTCAGGAAAACCTAATTAGATTACATGAAGTGATACAAAGTGAAGTGAGCAGAACCAGGAGAACATTGTACATAATAACAGCAATATTCTAATAATGATCAACTGTGAATGGCTTAGCTATTCTCAGCAATACCATGATCCAAGATAATTCCAAAGGACTTATGATGAAAAATGCTATCCCTCTCTAGAGAAAGAACTAATGCAGTCTGAATATATATCAAAGCATACTTTTTTTACTTTCTTTATTTTTCTTGGGAGTTTTTTTTGGTCTGTTTTTTCTTTCACAACATGACTCAGATGGAAATATGTTTTGCATGACTGCACATGTATAGCCTACATCAAATTGCTTGTCATCTCAGGGAGGGGTAGGGGAGGAAAAGAGGGAGAGAATTTGGAACTCAATTTTTAAAAAATGAATGTTTAAAATTATTTTTACATATAATTAGAAAAAATAATATTAAAAAAAAGAATGTGTGATGCAGGTCACATTCCTCTATAACTTGGGAAATGTCAGTGTAACCTGAGGCTTAGAGGGGTTAGGTGACTTGCCTATGGTTACACAGCTAATAATTGTCAGAGGTGGGATCTGAACCCAAGACTTCCTGATTCCAAGTACCACACTCCATGAGGCCCAGTATTCTATACTTCCTACTCTGGTCCAGAAAGGCATCAGTCTTTGGTTCAGGAAGTCAATGGGTTAGATAAATCTTAGTAGAAATTTTTGTATCCAAATGTTACAGATGGTGTAGAGAAAGATTGTTATTGTTTGTCCTTCACTCTCAAAAAGGACCATGGCATCAGGAAAGTATTGTCATGACTTGCAAGTGAATTGGATTCAAGTGAGATGGGGCTATGCAGAGTCATCAGTTTCACTCTCTTCCCCCAGAGCAATTTTAGTCCAGTGGCAAGATACAGATCAGGACAACTGGAGATGGCCCCAGATGCAGTGGGAGACCTTCGCCTTTTGGACCTGGAGACCTCACTCTAGACCCCACACTAAGCTGTTATCTTTGTCAAGTCACTAATCCCCATTGGGCCTCACTTTCCTCATTTGCAAAATTTAAAGGGTAGATTAGATGATATGTAAATTCCTTTCCACAACTCTGATGCAAGGAACAAAATCCATAGATTATTCTTCAAACTCATTTCAATTACTAGCCTCAACTTCTTACCAAACCTTTATAATAACAGCATTGCTATGGAGGAACCAATGGGATAGCTGGTCTAAGTCTCACTTCCTCTCCTTCCCTTCCACCCTCTGGTAGAGTTGCACATGAGTTGGAACATGCCCCAAAGCAGGGCAACCAATGAAAGAAAGAGACACAAGGATCTCTGTCATAATTTAGAATTTGCTGTAATTATCTTTTGGTCAGTATTTCCTGACCCTGTGTATCTAAAAAAGACATGTGGTGGATGTGTAGTGGGTTAAGCCCAAGAGGAAACAAGATTCTTACTACCTGTACAAATCAGTTCTTCTCACTGAGCCTGTTTCTTCATCTGTAAAATGTGGAGTTTGAATGTGATTGTAGATTTAGAGCTCCAAGAGAACTCAGAAGTCATCTAAGCCAACCCCTTTTATTTTACCGGTGAGGAAACTGAGGCCCAGAGATGTTAAGCGATTTACACAAGGTCACACAGTTAGTAATTGTCAGTCAGGAGCTTAATTTAGATTCTCTGACTCCAGACCCAGCACTCTTTCCCAGCAATAAACTGCCTCACCAGATGAGTTCCATTATACCTTCCAGTTGTAAAATTCTAGGATCCCTACAGGATAAGAACACTTTTTTCCACACATAGACTGCCCTGGGTCAGATGTTGGCAGTTGGTAACCAAGAGATTTGTTTTTATTTACTCAAGGGCAGGTGCAGCAAATAGTCTACAGAGGAGGCAATTGTGATCAATCCTGCTTCCCATGGTAACTGTCAAGGACACAAATCAATTGCCACTCCTTACATGGAATGTTGAAATGTGATATTCTGGCCTTCCTGGAACCTTTTAGCCACAAAAAAGGTTTTTTGTTTTTACAAACAAACATTTGTCAGTGGTGGATGGAAACTTTTAGGGATTACACACATATACATATGCACAAACACATCTATATTTGTATGTATATATAGTATATATCTATGTATTTATCTGGAGGAGAGAGAGAGAGAAAAGAAGAAGAAGAAGAAGAAGAAGAAGAAGGAAAGAAGAAAAAGAAGAAGAAGGAGGAGGAGGAAGAGGAGGAAGAGGGGGAAGAGGAGGAGGAGGAGAGACAGAGAGAAAAGACAAAGAGAGAGAAGAGAGACGGAGAGAGAAAAGGAAGATGGAAAATGCTAGTCTAAATTATCTGTGTGTTCTAACTTTTGTGAGAAAATCCTCAATGTAAATATAATTCCTGCCACTATAAAAAGTCCAACAAACATTTATTAAGGGGGGATGCAAATGAACCCCTCTAAAAAGTTACCAGACAAGGAAATAGAAAGCACCTTCCCTTTAGTGTGGATTCCATCCCCTTTTCCCACACTAATCACCTCCCTATTGATAAGTCAACACAAACGCCAGTCTTCTCCTTGGTTCACTTCACAGACATCTTACAAACCACGTCTTTCCCATTGTGGGGTCTCAGGCCCCTTCACTTTAAAAGTCAACTTGCTCCTAGTCTGTTTCAGCCCGCTGCCCCACTTCCTCCCCCGAGTTTCTCCAGGGTTTACAGGTTTCTTAATGTCCCCATTAAGTGTGGGTAAATTATAGGGGCCCAGCCATTCAAGAGTGGAAATTGTTCCAGGAGGGTCAGATACCCTGCCAGAGAAGAACATGATCAGCCCGCAGAAAGGCGCAAAGGAGAAAGAGAGGGTGCCTACACGACAAGCCAGCTTGAGCCTGCCCTCCTGCCCTCTCCTCCTCCCTCCTAAGTCCACAGAGAGGCTCAGGTTTGCTGGGTGTTGTTCGCCCTCCCTCCCAGCAGAGTTCTGTAGCCTTAGGCACCCAGCTTGCCTCCCTCGCCTCCCAAACAACCACCCTCACAAGGCACCAGGGAACTCACCCAAGAGCTTTCCAAGCAGCAGGGAGAAGATGAGGAGGAAGCCGGGAGTTCTAGAGTTACCTTGGCCCCTCTCAGGCATGATGCTGTCTGGGGCTCCAACCTCACAGGAGCCGGAACGTTTCCTGTTTCCTGCTGCTTTTTTGTCAGCGCTCACTTTCTGAAGGAGATGTGTTTTGAGGGTTTTTAGGAAGTGATGTAATTCTGTAGGAGCCTGTCAGACCAGCAAAGGATTGCAAAAGAGAAGCTTGCTATTCAAGCAAGAGGGATTCGGTGAGCACAGCTCACCCCTGAAAGGTTTCTCCGAAAAGTTTCTCCTCTACACTCGTCCTTAGGCTTTGAGGTCAGTTACAGAGGTTAGTCCCAGGCACCTTAAACCAAGCTCATGCTACCTTCTTGACCTCAACCATCCCAGGGCTGTTGTCCCAGGATTCCTGAACCCACCCTTCACCAAAGGCATAGATAGGCAACACACATCTGGAACAACAGCGATGTTAAAAAGCATTTGCAACATTGCTCCCCCCCGAAGTGTGTTGTTGTTCAGTCATTTCAGTCAGGTCAGCGCTTTGCAACCCCGTTTGGGGTTTTCTTGGCAGAGATACTGGAGTAGTTTGCCATTTCCTTCTCTAGATCATTTTATAGATGAGGAAACTGAGGCAAACAGGGTTAAGTGACTTGCCCAGGGTCACGCAGCTAATAAATGTCTGAGGCCAGATTCGAACTCAGAAAGATGAGTCTTCCTGACTCCAGGCCCCTCACTCTATCCAATGCATTAGCCTGTGTGACCTTGGACAAGTGAATTAACAGCCCTCAGCCTCAGTTTCTCCATCTCTAAAATGAAGTGGCTGGACCAGATGGACTTTAAAGTCCCTTCCAGTTCTGTGTCTATAATCTTATGGGGCTGATGTATTGTTGTTGGCCCTTGGGTACCTCTCCAGAGAGTATACCACACAGAAACTCCTACTGGCTCACACTGACATTTTTTTTCCCAAGAAGAAAATAATACCTCAAAAATTAATGGAGGGTTGGGGTAGGAGGGGAGGAATTCAGTGTTCTCCTTTCTTCCATCCTAGCTGAGAGTATATTTCTCAAACCCTTCAAACCCTCTCAATCTCCGAACAGGACTAGGTTGTAAACCCCAATCAATTTAACCTGTGTGGCAGATGTCCCCCATATGTAGAGCGGGAATGTCGTTGTGTGGCTCAAAGTGAAGAAGAATAGACATTTCTAAGCCTCTTCTCCCTCCACTTTTCTCCAAAGGAGATTTTAATAGGAATTATGTAGTAAATTGGGGGGAAGGGGCAGTAGATGGTAAAGGGAGTAGAGTGTCGGACCTGGAGTCAAGAACACTCATCTCCCTGAGTTCAAATCTAGCCTGAGACACTTACTAGCTGGGTGACCCTGGGCAAGTCACTTGACCCTGTTTGCCTCAGTTTCTTCATCTATAAAATAATCTGGAGAAGGAAATGGCAAACCACTTCAGTATATCTGCCAAGAAAACCTCAAAAGGGATCACAGAGAGTCAGACACAACTGAAAAATGACTTGAACAAAGTAAATTAGGACCGGAGGCTGGCCCCACTTTCTTCCAAATAGAATTTTATCTATCTGTTTCCTTAAATATTATCAATCTAAAGGATGTGATTTTCAAGTTCAAATTAACTTCTGATCATTGTTTCATTAGTTTAGGAGGAAGGAGGAAGCTTTATATCCAAGGCTCAACCTTTTCCCACCAAATACCAATTCCATAATGAACACAAATAGCAATTATCAAAGAAACCAACTTAACCAATTCAATAGCAAAACAGAAATCAGAAAAAGTATACACAGGAGGATATATAACAGACAATGCAGTGAAAAGTCTCTCCCGTTGGGAGTGAGGTAACTCACCTAGCAAAGGGAAAGAGTCCAGATCTCATCCAAGGGGAATTACCCCCAAGTCTCTAGTGTAGCAAGCTGGGGATAGAAACATGATGGAGACCCTCAGCTTTTCTCATGTTGGCTTCTTCCCAGAGTCTTTTCCTTCAGCATCCTAAGTGGAGTTGATATCGACCATCTTCCCTCTCAAAGTTGGAAGCTAGAAGCACCCAAAAGGGTTCAAAGAACCTGGAAAGGACTCACACAGGTGAGGGGCATCGATCTCTACCGATAAGGAAAAAGTCTCACATCAATGGGCTTTGAGGCTGGAATTATATTTCATAGGCACTTACCTGAGTTTGGGGCAGGAGGTAGAGGCAAGGGCTGGGAAAGTGAAGATAGAGTGTTCGGTTTCTTCATTTTTCCAAAAGTTCCTTCAGTTTTAAGATCTATCAATGCATTTGCTCAAAAATGTTTATTGTGAGGGACCAGCAGACAGAGAAATAAGAAGAGAAAGACTGAATGGCCTTCACATGTACCATTCTAACCCTCGATCCTTCTTATTCTGCCTTCCAACCACATACCTGTCCAACTGGCTCCTCTGCTCCATCAATGACACTTCCCCTCCAGCCTCCATGCCCCTTCAAGGGCATTTTCACTCATGCCTGAGGTACTCTCCCTTCTACCGACCTCTTAGAATTCCAACTCAGGTGCCACCTTTTATAAGGAGCCCTTCTTGATTTCCCAGTTCTTGGTGTTCCGTTCTCCCCCAACCTCCACTTGAAATTACTTCACATTTATTTTATATTTAATTATTTATGTACATGTTGGTTCCCTCCCTACCCCCTAAGAATATAAACTACCCAAGGACAAATAACATTTCTTCCTATCCTTAACACGATGCCTAACACATAGTAGGTGATGAATAAATTCTCATTAAATTCATCCTAGATTACATGTTGACAGCATTTTCTAGTACTCTGCTTGGTGTAAATCAGAGCCCTACCTGTTATTCTTTGATTCTAGTCACATCTATTTATTTTTCTTAGCTCACTGCTGCATTAGTCACTGTTCATCACAATGCTCATCCCCAAGAAATAGGTTGGTGAGTCATGGAATGAACAGTTTGTTAATGGATTTACAACATGCATGTTAATGTTTTGACCTGGCAGTCAAATCCAACACTATTCCTTGATAAAATACACGTTTGCATAATGTGGCAGTTTCAAAAAAAAAAAAATCCAGCGGAGCAGCTAGGTGGCGAAGTGGATAGAGCACCCACCCTGAAGTCAGGAGGACCTGAGTTCAAATCCAGCCTCAGACCAAACACTTGACATGTACTAGCTGTGTGACCCTGGGCAAGTCACTTAATCCTGATTGCCTTACCAAAAAAAAAAAAAAAAACAGCAAAAAATAAATGGGTAAGTAACAACAGAATAGCTGTTTGGAGAAAAGATATTCAGGGTGAGAACTCTCTGTCAAACCTTTCTCAAGTAGAGGGCTTACAGACACTAGCTCTCTTGCTCAAACACCCATCAGCTCTATATTTAATTTCCAATTATTTCTGTCCTTTTCCACATTTCCACAACGGGGAAATTTTTATGCAAGGGAAAAGGCCAAGCACCTTATGATCTTTCTGGATTTTTCCAAATGGTTGAGCATTATTATTCTATTTTCTCAAATGAAAAAACCAAGTTTCACACCCCTTCCCCCCCCCCCGGCCCCCCTGTGAAATTTCTTACCCAGGAGGCTAGAACCTGGATTTGGGATTCCTTCTGTTTCGCTATTATCAGCACAGCCAGGCACTGGGCAGACATTTCCAACCATGTAGTATATATATGATGATTGCTGGTATCAAATGCTAGATGACACAGCGACAATAAATCAATTAGAAATGTACAAAATGAACTAAGCCAGCTGGGAAATCCTGTGTAGCAAAGTCATTTTCTTTTGACCGCATGCACTAGAAGGCCCTTAGTGTGATTAAGCTTATCTTAAAGTGAAGAAAATTACTGCTATTGATCAGAAAATTATAGCACCTCAGTGATCTCTCAGCTGCAGTGAAACTCACAGAGAGACTGGGCTATTCTGGGCTGTTTGTTCCATTTTTACTAGCCATTAATTTCATGAAATGACCCCCTATTTTCAGATTCAATCCTGATCTGCTCATGGGAGGAAGTCAGGGCCTCCTCCAAAGCCACAAAGAATGAGAAAGCCTTAGGGATAAATGGCGTTCTGGTCTCAAAGTTTCCAGCTCCGAGGCGAAGAGTTGGACAGTTGCCTACCCAGGCTCTCTCCCAGAGGGGGAATGCTTAGGAAATGCAGTGAGCTTTTGAAGATGCTGTTTTCATCTTCAAGAAGGAAGACTAACAAACAATCGAAGGTGGTGATCATGGTGCCCTAAGAGGCATCGATGGGTGGCAATATCCAGGCTGTAAGCCTGGGAGTGAGGAAATCCTCTCCGCTCTTTTTGGAACCAAAAAACAAAACAAACAAACAAACAAACAAAAAATCAGTGGTTGGACCCAAAGCAGTAAGGCCCTTGAAGAGAATAGGTGCAGACATCACAATGTACCCTCCCCATGATAAAGGACCACAGTGCAATGGCCTCATACTCTGGCTTTGCTGCTTCTTTGCCCACCTAAATGATACTGCTACTGCTCCAGGACCATCCGGACAAGTGTCAAGGGTTCAGAGTGGTGGAAGTTTCAGAATAAATCATATATTTGTGGACATGTACACTGGAATTTAAGGCAGCTAAGTGTTTCAATGGATAAAACACCAGGCCTGGAGTTAGAAAGATCTGAGTTCAAATTCAGACTCTGATACTTAGTAGCTGTGTGACTCTGATTAAGTAATTTAACCCCTATTTGCCTCAATTGCTCATCACTAGAGATGGAAATGGCAGATTACTCCAATATCTTTGCCAAGAAAAGTCTTGAAGAGTCCGACATGGCTGAATGACCGAACAACCACAACAACATTGGAATTTGCTTTGCTTGACTATACATTTTGTTACAAGAGGTTTCTTTTTCTTTCCTTTTTTTTCCCCAGTGGGAAAGGGAGGCAGGAAGAAGATAAAATTAATGCTCATTAATTGAAAAAATAAAATGGAAGTTACATTTAAATGATAAAAATCTAAAAGTGAGGGGAGAGAAAAATGTGTAAGAGGAAGCTGAGCTAACCACTTCTCTCCTCCTCCTGAGGCAACCTTAACCTTAGGGAAGAGATGATGCCTTTATGCAGTCTGTGCTATCTATGCCTGTTGTTACTTAATTTTACTCCATACTTTTCCTAATGAACTTTTGTTTTGCTATGAATAAAAAGTGTCATGGGCTGAGGGTCACATTGCCTCAAGGTCACAAAGGGTTTTTGTCCACAATGTGGACAAAGCAACGGCAACCTATGGCAGAATAGATCAAGAACGGCAAACCAGCTAACTGGGCCGGCGCCTAGCCCAAGTGACCGAAGCCATGTTCCAGGAAGTCGATAAACCACATCAGAGACTAGGACGAAAGGGTTAATCCATCAGAATTCTCTCAACCCTCACTCCCATGGCCAGCCGCAGTAGGTACTCTGATAGCTGCTAGAAGGGTTTTATTGCCTTTCGAGTTGGAAAAGTTTAGGCCTTTCTCCTTAGCTCCACCTAGCTTAGCTAGCAATTTCATAATTTGTAAAAAAAAAAAAAAAAAGAGTGATGGATTAGATGGTCTTTGAGGAACCTTCCATCTGTAGAACTACAACTTCATGATTTCATTTTAGGCAGGTTGAGTATAAGATGTCTATGCGACATTGGTGGGGGTAGCTATATCTACCACAGGCAGTGTCTGATGTGGGATTGAAGTTCAAGAGAGAGAGTAGGCCCAGATATAAATCTGGGATTCATCTTCAGGGAGGTGACCATTGAATTTATGGAAGTTGAGAGAGAGAGAGAGAGAGAGACAGAGAGAGAGAGAGAGAGAGAGAGAGGGAAGGAGAGAGGGAGGGAGGGAGAGAATAATGAAAAAGAGGGGCCCAGGGCAAAGTCTTGGGTTACATTTACACTTAGTGAAGAGGAGATGTATAATGGTACCAGGTAAGACTACAGGTCTGGAGTTACAGGTCTTGGGTTCAAATCCTGGCTCTATCATCTACTGACTTCATGACCAGGGGGAAGTCACTCAACCTCTCTGAGTTTAATTTCTTCATCTGTAAAAATAGGTGATTCTTTTTTAACAGATGATTTCTAAGGTCCCTTATAGCCCTAAACCTACGATCTCCTATTTTCAAATTAGAATGGAATAGAATTTGCTGAGAAATGGATTCTAGGTTGCAGTCCATACTTTTTAGTTATATATTTATCATGTTTCATTTTGGGGGGGTAATTTTTAAATTATTATTTTGATTTATTGTTGTTTCAGAAAAACTTTTTGAGTACTTGATCAATTTTTTTTTCTTAAGTGATTCCTTCTGGTTGCTTTAAAGATTTTTTTTTGTCATTGTAGTTTTGAAATTCGGTGACAATTAGAATCACAGAATTTATAGTTATTTGGGGCCTCAGTGGCCATCTAGTTCCCCCCCCATACTGGAAGGGGACCCTAACTATAGCATATCCAAGAAATAGTCATTCAGCCTCTTCGTGACAACCTCTAGGGAGAGGGAGAACTCACCACCTATTGAGTCAGCCCATTCCACTTTTATAGATCTCTAACTGTCCAGAACTTGTTGTTTGTTGTTATTGTTGTTGTCATCATTGTTGTTGTTATTTTACCAATATAAAAACCAAATCTGACTCTTTGGAACTTTTACGCATTGTTCCTGGCCCTGTCCTCAGGGGACAAACAGAATAATTCTAATTGATTTTCTTCATGACAACCCTCCAAATACTTGAAGACAGCTACCGTGTCCCCCCTGAGACTTCTCTCCAGAATAAATTCCCTAGTTCCTTTAAGTTACCTTCATTTGACATGAACTCAGAGCCCTTCACTTCCCTGGGGGTTATCCTCTGGATCCTCTGGATGCTCACCAGCTTATCAAATCCCTTCTTAAATGGTGGTGTCCAGAACTGAACAGTAGTCTGTCCTGGTTCTCCTCCTACCCATCTGACCACTCCTCATCTACTTTGCTGGCTCTCTGTCCAGGTCACAACTGTAGGAGTCCCACGGGGCTCTATCCGAGGCCCTCTTTTCTTCTCCCTTTGTAATATTTTACTTCCTTCTTCATAATCTCATCAACTCCAATGGATTTAGTTATCATTTCTGTGCTGATGATTTCCAAATCTACTTAGCCAGCCCTAACCTCTCTCCTGACCTCCAATCTTGCATCACAAAATGCCTACTGGACATATTAAACTGAATGTCCAGTAGACATCTTCAACTCAACATGTCCAAAATTAAAATCATTATCTTCCCTCCCCAAAACTCTTAACTCTTCTTAATTCTCCTACTACTGTCCAGAATACCACCATCTTCCCAGTCATCCAGGCTTACAACCTAGATGTCATCTTTGGCTCTTCACCCCTCTTACCCTTTGGCTCTTCTTCACTATGGCACCCCACATCCAAGTCTGTTGCCAATTCCTGTTGGTTTTTTATAACATGTCTCACTTAAGCCCCTTTCTCTCCTTCGACCTTGCCATCACATGGGTGCGGGCCCTCATTACTTCATACCTAGAC